ATCTTGATATCGTAATTTAAAAAATGTATAATTGACATTGTGTAATAGGAAGAAAAGGTGTAAAGGAGCAGGGGAAGTGGGAGGGATAGGGGAAAGGAAAGAAAGGAAAAGAAAAGATATGAGAAAAGGAAAAACATGGAAACAAAAGTCTTTGCAAATAGGGAAGGGTGGAGGGGGCAAAGGGAGGGCAAGGGAAGGGGAAAAAAATAAGAACCAGGGCTGGGGATTTAGCTCAGTGGTTCTGGTGCCTGCCTCACAAGAACAAGTTCCCGAGTTTGATCCCCAGTACCAAAAAAAGAAAAAAAAAAAGAACCAAGATACTCATGTAAAGGTACAAGATCCCAGTGATCAATGTAACTGTGTTCTATACCAAAAATGTACCAATAAACTTAATGGGGGGAAAAAAGACTTCATTAAGATCCCACTGTGAAGTCATGGACTCTCTCTACCAGGAACGCTTCCTGATGTCTTTCTGTTTCTTTTCAGGGACTACTTTTATATAGCGACCTCGTGGAGTCCACATTTGAAAAGCTCAAGTTGCCTAGCAGGAAGGTGGATGCTTTAGATCATTTTCAAAAATGCTTTCTGATTTTAAAATTGCACCATCAGAGAGTGGACAATGACAAGTCCCCCCAGCAGGGGGGAAAGACCTGGAAGGCCATCCGTGTGGACTTGGTCATGTGCCCCTATGAGCGCCGTGCCTTTGCCCTGCTGGGGTGGACTGGCTCCCGGGTAAGCATGGACCTATGGGATGTTAGCTTTCCAGAGACAGGTCAGGTCTACCTGGGCCAGGAGAGATGATGACAGCAGAGCAGAGTGCCAGGAGAATGGGCTGTTCCCAGAAACCTCTAAATCAGAGCACTCTACCCATACACAAGTGAGTCAGATTAATCTAGAACAGTTATTTCCTGTTCACAGACCAGCAGCTGTGGCCTTACCTAGGAACAGGTTAGACTTACAAATTCTCTGCCCCATCTTTGACCTATTGAATCAGAAACTGGGAGAGGAGTCCAGTAATCTGTCTTTCAAAAGTCCCCGGGTGGTTCTGAGGTAACACAAGTGTAAGAACCACTGAAGCATAGAAACCAGTAGGTGGCGAAGAGCATGAGTCAAGCTCTCCCCAGACCTGTCGACAAGCATCATGTGGATGATCTTGGGCAAGTTCCCTATGTCCTCTAAGACTTGGTTTTCCCATCAGAAAGTGAGGGCAATGACTTTTACTGCCTTCCTGAGTAGCAGCAGTTTGGAGAGATGATGCTCTCAAAGCCTCAGCAACACACCAGGATGTAGTCAGCCCTTCATAACAGTAGCTCCAAGCTCCTGTCATTTTAGACTCACAGGACAGGAGTCTGTGCCTTTTTAAAAAAATTGTTTCCCCACTTTAACTCTTGAGTTTTTATTAGTTTTTGTTTTTTGGGGGTTTTTTGGTACCAGGGATCGAACTCAGGACCTTGCGCTTTCAAGGCAGACACGGTCCCACTGAGCTAAATCCTAGGCCCTATTTTTTATTAGTATATGTTTGTGATACATAACAATTATATTAGTTTGGGGAAATGTATCTATTCAGTATATATTGCACCTTGATCAGTTTGATCCCCTTTGCCCCTGCTTTACCTCTTCCCCCTTCCCTAGATCCCCTTCCTATTCTCCAGTCTATTTCATTGTTTCCTCCCATCTGTCTTTTATTTGTCTATATACAATTTTTGTATTTTTTAATTTCTCATATAAGGGAAGCCATGCAATATTTAATTTTCTGTGTCTGATGTATTTTCCTTAACATTATAGTCCCAAGATCCATCTCTTTTCCTATAAATGATTCCAATCTTTCTCTTTTTTTTTTTTTGTGGTACCAGGAATCGAACTCAGGGCCTCACACTTGCCAGGCAGGCACTGTGCCATTGAGCTACATCCATGTCCCTCAAATCTTTCTTTGTGGCTGATATATTTCATATATTTTTTTTATCCATTTATCTGTTTGTGGGCATCTATCTAGACTGATTCTATAATTTAGCTGTTGTGAATTGTGATGCTATAAATATGAGTATGAATGTATTACTGTACTATGAAATCTTTAACTCTTTCAGAAATATACCCAGGAGAGATATAGCTGAGTCAAACAGAATTTCTATTTTTAGTTTGTTGAGAAATCTCCATACTGACTCCCATAGTGGTTATACTAGTTTACGTTCCCACCAACATTATAGGAGGATTTCTTTTTCCCTACACCCTCACTAGCATTTTTTTGCATTTTAAGTCCTTGCTGATAGTTGTTCTTATTGGAGTAAAATGAAATCTCACTGTTGCTTTTATCTGTATTTCCCTCATAGCTGAAGATGCTGAACATTTTTTCATCTATTTATTGGCCATTTGTACTTCTTCTTTGGAGAGGCTTGTTCTCTTCCCCTGCCTATTTTTTAGTTGGAACTTTTATTTTGGGCGTGAATTTTTTTTTAGTTCTTTTATATTCTAGATATTAGATCTCTGAGGAGTAGCTGGCAAAACATTTTTCCCCATTCTATAAGTTCTCTCTTACTCTCTTGATTCCTTCCATTGCTGTGCAGAAGCTTTTAAATTTGATATAATCCCATTTATTGATTCTTGGTATTTTTTTTTATACAATTGAGGTTTTGTTTAGAAAGTCTTTGCCTATGCCTATCTCTTCAAGTATTTTATCAATTTTATCTTCCAGCAAATTCACTGTTTCTGTTTTTGTACCAAGATCTTTGATTCATTTGTATTTTGTTTTAGCACAGGGTAAGAGATTGGAGTCTAGGTTCATTCATCTGGATGGGGATAACCAGTTTTTCCAGCACCATTTGTTAAAAAGATTATTTTTTTTCTTTAGAATTTTTTTTTAGCCCCTTTGTCAAAGATCAAATGGCTAACGGTGCATAGGGCTGTTTTTGTGTCTTTGAAATTCCATTTCATTGGTCTATATGTCTATTTTTGTGCCAGCACCATGCTGTTTTTATTACTATCACTTTGTATTATAACTTTAAACTTGGGATTGTAATGACCTCCAGTTTTCTTTTTGCTTAGGATTGCTTTGGTTATTCTGCATCTCTTCTAGTTCTGTGAAGAATGCTGATGGTATTTTGATTGGGATTACATTAAATCTATATATCATTTTTGGTAATATGGACACTTTGAAAATATTGATTCTTTCTATCCATAAACAGGGGATGTCTTTCCATTTTCTAATGTCCTATTCAATCTATTTTTTTCAGAATATCGTAGTTTTCATTATAGAGGTTGTTCATCTCCTTAGGTTGATTTTCAAGTATTTAATTTTTTTTGAAGCTACTGTGAATGGAATTGTTTTCATAATTTGTTTCTTGGTAGGTTTAATATTGGTATATAGAAATGCCATTGACTTTTGTGTGTTGATTTTGTATCCTACCACTTTGCTGAATTTGTTTATTAGCTCTAAGAGTCTTCTGGTGGCATTTTTTGGATCTTCTTTGAAAAGGATTAAGTCATCTGCAAATGATCATACTTTGATGTTTTTTTCTTTCCTATATATGTCCTTTTCATTTCTTTGTCTTGCCTGATTGCTCTGGCTAGGCTTTTGAGTATTATATTGATCAAAACTGGTGAGAGTGGATACCCTTTTCTTTTCCTGATTTTAAAGGGAATGCTTTCAATTTTTCCACATTCAGTATGATGTTGGCAGTGAGTCTTTCAGAAATGGCTTCTATCAATTTGAGGTAAGTCCTTCTATACCTCTTTTCATTAGGGTTTTTATTATGAATGGATGTTGGGTTTTGCCAAAGGCTTTTTGTGCATCTGTTGAGATGATCATGTGATTTTAATCTTTACTTCTGTTTATGTGATGTATTACATTTGTTGATTTATGTATGTTGAACAATCCTTGCAATTCTGGGATGAAGCCAACTTAGTCATGATGAAAATAATCTTTTTAATGATTTATTGCATTCTGTTTGCAAGTATCTTGTTGAGATTTTTGCATCTATGTTCATTAAAGATATTGGCCTAAAAAAATTTTTTTAAATAGGATATTGGCCTATAGTTTTTGTTGTTGTTGAGTCTTTTCCCGGTTTTGATATTAAGGTAATACTGGCCTCAAGGAATGATTTTGACAATGTTCCTTCTCTTTTAATTTCATGGAAGAATTTGAAGAGTATTAACATTAATTCTTCTCTGAAGTTTTAGTAAAATTCAGTGATGAATCCATTGGTTCCTGAACTGTTCTTACTTGGTAAAATTTTTATTACTTCTTCAATTTCACTATTACTAGTCTTTTCAGAGTTTTTCTATTTTCTTGGTTCAATTTTTGTAAATCATTCATGTCTAGGAATTTATTTATTCTAGAGTCTCTCTATGTTATGGAATATATGTTTTTGAAATAGCTTCTTATAATCCTCCAGATTTCAGTGGTGTTCATTGTGATCTCACCTATTTCATTTCTATGATACAGGTCTTCTCTTTCTTTCATTTGTGAAGTTTGGCTAAGGGTTTATCGATCTTATTTATTCTTTCAAAGAACCAACTCTTTGATTCATTGGTCTTTTGTATTTTTTTAGTCCTAACTTCATCGATTTCTGATCTTTCTTATTTTATTTCACTCTGCAAATTTGGGTTTTGGATTGCTTTTTTGTTGTTGTTGTTTGTTTGTTTGTTCGTTTGGTACTGGGGATCAAACTTGGGTCCTCATGCTTTCGAGGCAGACAGTGGAACCCCTGAGCTAAATCCCCCAGCCCCTAATTGCTTGGTTTTTTTTATAGGACCTTGAGATGCATCGTTAGTTTTTTTTCTTAATACTGCTAGTTCAGTTCGCCTCATTGAAACAATCCTTGGCATGGGAAAACCTGCCGTAGCTTGGTAAGAGCAATAGCTGAGATTCCTGCACTCTTAACTAGCACACAACAGCCTCCCCCACACCCCATCTTTCAGAAAGCAATACCTGATGAAAAGAAAAAAAACACTCACATACAAAACCACAAAAATAAAGTCCTCTCAGTCCTATTTACACTGCAGTCTGAATTCAACCAGTGTGCACTCTTCCCTTAGCTCAAAAATATACAGATCTTGTCTTGTAACACTTGCAGGGTCTGAACTCCAATCCTCTGTGGTGGTGTCTGAGAGGTTGGCTGTCAACCAGTGCTTGACTGGTCGCCCTCCAATAACTCATTCTCTTGCCTACCAGGAAGTGAAAGGGCTGTGGGGTCCAGATGGCCCCCTGCAACTGCTTCTCCTTCCTCTGCAGGCAGAGCTCTGTTAGGTTTCAGCTGTGCTCCTGTGGGCATAAGTAGCTGGAGGTTTTTGCTTCTGCCTAATGGCTGGATGCCTTCAATTGTGTGGGGGTGGGAGGGACACAGCAGGACTGGTCTAGTGCACAGTCTTCCACTGATCTCTGGGGGGGCTCCCCTGATCTCTATCCCCTTATTTCTGTGTGATACTCCCTACAGCTGCTTACATCTGTTCTTTCTATGTAACTCCAGGTTGCCACACCGTGCCAAACCTTCTGACCACACCACTCTTCAGCTTTCTATCTGCACCAATCTTTCTCTCTGTGCCACACAAAGAATCTTTTCCAGCACATGAATTCAGTGGTGTTTAGGGCTTGGCAGAAAACAGCCCTTCTGTGTGGAATTTAGTGGCATTTGGGGGACAACAGGAGGGAGCTCCACACAGGCGCAGGGCTCAGCAGCTTTTAGTGGGTGGTGAGAGGGATCCTGCATGGGTGTGCAGCTCAGTAGCATTTGGAGGGCAGGTGGTGGGAGGGACACCGCACAGGAACAGAGCTGCATGGTGTTTGGGGAAGGAGAGAGTGCCTACTCTAGAGCTGCTCCAGTGTCTTCTCTGCCCTGAGATCTCACTGGTCATAGCTATTGTACTGCAGCTCCTGTGACTCTCACTGTCCCCCAGATCCCCAGGGTCTAGTTTTGAGTCCCTACCAGGACCAATTTCCTTTGTTCTTCTCTGTTCTGAGGGCTCACTGGTCCTAACTTGTTCACTGCTCTCTGAATGATTTTCTGGCTTGCACCTTCCTCGATGCCTTGATCTAAAGAAGCCTTCTCTTGAGAATATCTCACTCACTGGGTTTTGTCTCTCAGTGGGAGGAGAGTTAGGAGAGGTGGGCACTGGGTAATGGCTGCTAACCTGGGCACCAACCAGCAGCCTGGCAACCAGTTCACTAAAGTTCTTACCTCAGGGGGGATTTGAACTTTTCCCAAGATGGCACATTTGCCAGACCTGGGCTGTAAGCAGTACCAGGATCAAAAAGAAATCATGCTTCTTTTTCTAAACATCCCTGATACTGGAATTTATTTGATGGGCTTCTCTCCTTCAAGTTGCCTTCCCACAGTTGAGTTTTTGTTTGCCTCCCATTTCTGAGAAAGTGTAGACTTTGGGGAACACCTTCTAAGCATCCTATGAGCAGGGAGGAGAACAGCCCAGGACTGGGAGGGAAGGGGAAGGTGGTGGTGAGCTAAGTAGTGCTCCTGAACTTTCACAGATCTTTAGCTACTGTACCAGAAATCTGCTTCATCCTAGTCTTCCACTAGCTTGACTCTATCCCATTAGAAAGGACTTCTGGTGGGAGCCTATCTTCTCACCCAGCCCTAACTTTCCTATGATAGGAAATAGTTCCTCTCCACAGGATGACACAATCATCTTGGGCTTTCTCCATGATGTACATGCAAAGGACAAAATTTCTAGATATATGCTTCTCTCAGGAAAGCCAACTTCAATGACAATATTTTTCACTGTCCTCATTTCAAAACTTGTCCTTTCTCCTATCTTGGGCTTCAGGATTGCTCCCTGAAGGCTGACTACAACTCCCAATCTACAGAGATTTTGTTCTGGGGAAGGTGACTTCATAGAATCTTAGTATGAGAGGATATTGAAGCCAGAGGGATCCTTATAATGTATTTTCTCCATCCTTTGACCAACCAAGATTCAGAGAGGCTGAGTGACTTGCCAAGAAACACATAGCCAGGTAGGGACCAAATCTAGGCTGGAATCTGAGCCCCATGGCTCCACTTCCTCTTTTATAGTACTGATTTCAAATTTTAAAATAAAATTATTTATCCAGCATTTACTCTGGATACAAAGCTTGAACTACACATTTATTCTTCAATAAACAGCCACTGCATATCTTCTATCTATGAGACACTATTTGATGAGAGAATAGTGTTATGGACAAAACAAATCAGATTCTTGTTCTCACAAAGCTTACATTCTGTTGTGCTTGTGTGAGCATGGGGCTCTGCTAGCAGAGCACTTTGCCCTAGGGAAGAAGGTCACTGTGAGGATGTTTGGTGGAGATGGATGTTTGATCAGAGGATCATACACATCTCTAAACTTCTAATACTGGAGACACTCTAGACATGACAAAAGTTATTATTTTAATTATCTCTTTCCAGCAGTTTGAGAGAGACCTCCGGCGCTATGCTACGCATGAGCGGAAGATGATATTGGATAACCATGCTTTATATGACAAGACCAAGGTAGGGTTTTCTTCTTGAAATGGGCTACTTTGATTCCCCAGGATGACTCCCAAGCACTTTTTCCTGAACTGATTTTCATGTTCAAACACAGTTTCCTTTGCTACAAGTATCCTATTCCCAGTTCATCAAGTTGAGAGCAGCTGGAAAGATTCGCACAAGCCAGAGTCCTCACCTGGCCCAGAACGCAGGTCAGAGATTTTTGGCTCAAAGATCATAAGCCAACCATTGCCAGCAAGAATCCTACATGATACTCATTGGTTAAGCTTAGGTCTTGCGGCCATCCCTGAGTCCATTGCCATAGCTCTAATAGGATTGTGTACATCTCACTGAATGAGTGAGTCAGGGGGGAAGGGTAGGGGTCCCAAAGAAGTTCAGCATCATGCTCACAGAAGAAGGAGCTGCAGATGCTGGCAGGAAATCCTCAGAAGTGAGCATGTGGTGGAGGCAGAGTCATAATAATGCAATTTAGGAAGACTTACAAATTAATACATAGCAAGTAGTTCGAGTAAATGTATGTCTTCTGTATGGCCAGAGCTGTGCTGGTGACAAGAGGAAATGAGGTCAGTGCTTCATCTTGAAGAGGTGAGGCGGGAGGCTGGTGGGGTTTGTGTAGCTATGGAGGCTATAAAGACCACAACACGTACCAGTAACACTATAACTATGAATATATTGGTGTAGAATATGGGCTGCACATTAGAATTACTCAGAACTTTTAAATAGATTGATGAGAAGGCCTTTCCTGAGGTTTTGATTTCATTGGCCTGAGGTGTGACTCAAGCTTCAATTTTTAAAAATTCCAGCAGGTGGTTCTAATGAACAGCTATGCTTAGGAACTACAGACTCATTGGAAAAATATCTAAACCCCTTTTGCTGAATATAAAATGATGTCGTAAATTTACCTTAATTTATTCAGTACCATATTCCTAGATGGAAAATGTAAAAATTACAAAAATCAGTCACAGCAACTTTTTATACTCAGAAGCAGGGAAATGTATTTTGGTAATAATTCATTCTAACAAGACAGTCTCACAAATAATACTTTCACTGTGTCTGCATTAAGATGCTTAAGAAAAAAATCTGAATGTATATATTTTTTGTTATGCTTTCAGAAGACATTCCTCAAAGCAGAAAGTGAAGAAGAAATTTTCACACATCTGGGATTAGATTACATTGAGCCATGGGAAAGAAATGCCTAAGAAAAAGTTGTTGACATATTTCTGCTCTTTTCAGGTCAAATAAATTATGCTTCATATTAGTAAAAGTTGCCTTAAGAAAGTTTGGGGGTTCTTTAGATTTTGCTGAAATGAAGATTACTACTAAAAATAAATAGCTTTAGAGACAGAATAAAGCACCACATGGAAAGAAGTTATGCTGTAACTGGCATGATTGATGCATGATTGCTGCTTAGAATTCACAATGAATTTTTCAGTAGAAAAGTCTTGTTGCTGGTGGTTCATCCAGGGAAGGAATTCAAAGCCCACTTTGTTCTAGGATAGCTGAAGTACTGTATATCTTCAATAAAAATGAAAGAGAAGATTATGGAGTCTTTTTTTCTTTGCTCATATATGAAATGTTTATAAACACGAGTTGTGAAAGAATAAAAAGCTTAGGATTTATCTTTAGAGGACAAACAGATTTAGGTAGAAGATACAGAGATTCTTTTTTTTTTTTAATTCTTTTATTGGTACATTGTAGGTATACAACACAATTACATTTCTCATTGGGAATTGTACCTTTACATAATGCATCTTGGTTCT